CCCTAAACCCTAAACCCTGGTCAAGCTGCAACTTTCGCCCTTCTGCCATCAAAGTTAACTTGGCAAGGAAGATCCTCCTAGTGGCTGCGGTCTTGCACCACCCCTTGCTGACTTGCGACCTAACTCCTTGCCAGACACCCACACTTCCTGTAAAGGTCAAGATAAGAATTACTGGGTACAGTAGTGCAGGCTTCTGACCAATCAAACGCACGCCTTTCCTGAGCTCTTGGAGCCAGATTTCTGTGCCATGTTGTTCTTGCAGTGAGCTTCTCCGAAGTTGCCCATAGTTGCACCATCGTTCCCAGGAATTTACCTTAAAGACGACTCTCTGAGCATTGCCTTGCGTTAGGAGTCGGACAGGATGTCTCGCATTGTGGGCAACTTCCTCTGTGAGTGTCAACCAATGTTCACAACCTTCTCTTTGCGTTGTAACTTACACAAATATGGACGCCACATGAGCACAATGAATAGCAAAACGAATGGCTGTTCCTACGACTTCCAGGCATCCCGAGTTGTGGAGGGAGGGGGGCTGGACCAAGGCGAACTTCGTGAAGCAGTACAGAGCTACATAGTTTCTTTTTTAAAGCTGAGTGGTAATATACTGTATGGTAATACTGAGTAACACTATACACAGGCAAGACGACGGAGCCAGAAACCAGGTTCACGATTTCCCCCTGCGACTGTTTACACAATAGCCTCGCGAACGAAGTGGTGTACCACCAAAGTACTTCACCAGAGAAGCACGAGCTAGCCGAAGAGTTGGTCCTCCATGGAAGCTGTGAGCTCGTAATGTAAGTCGTCAAGAACCTGCATCAGCTTCGCTTGCTACGAGCCATGCGTGCCGTGCAAAGGTCAAAAAACTTGTCAACATGGCACATTACATTATATCATATGCGATGTTATACTATAGTATAGTATCTTATAGTATCCTGCTAGATTAGATTATGATATGTTGCATCAGTCGCTCAGGATGTTTTCAAACTTCTAGATTTAAATGGCCTGGTTGCAGTGCTCGAGGATTCTCTCTTCGGCGGCGCGAACGTGACTATCGCTGTCCTCCAGAGTGAGGACAGCCCCAGGTAGCTTTCATACCCGTAGGCAGGCATCATGCCAAAGTCCTCCAGCAGAGCCTGCACCTGTGCGTGCGTCTCTTCGTGCCCAGCCACCTGAGCAGGTCGCAGCGGGAACCCCCGTCGCAAGGCCGCTGCTGTGCTCAGCGGTGCTTAGCGCGGCATCAGGCCGGAGTCAAAGCAGTTGAGGCTCCGTCTCGCTTCTCCAAGTCCACGAGAGACTGGGACAGCTTGAGCCTTTCCTGACCGGCAGAAGTCATGCGATGCTTGATAGACGTTGAAGCAAGGCGACGTTGCAGGGCCACTGTCCTCGGTCTCGGAGTCCCGCTGTGCCTGCAGTTGCGCCTGCAAGTCCTGGAGCATCTGCTGCCCAGCCTTTCACCGACACACTAGAAAAGGAGGAAGCAGCATCTTCTGAACCAATTTCCTGAAAGTCCCGATACACCAAAACCCCTGTTAGAGCTATTCAGGCCCCTCAGTTCGACCCGAGATGGTAGTGACAATGTCTGAAGTGAGCCTCGACTGCCGAGTCTTGCCGATTTCGAAGACGCTCCTGAAACAACACTCGGCATTCTCACAAAGGTGATGTTCTCGCATGTCGAGTCCCGGGCTTACACATAGAAGGTTCGGTCCCCGGAAAGCGTCAGATGGAGAGTTCTCTATACTAGGGTCCCTTTTAGAGTCTTGTTTATAACAAGGGTGCCGTACTATGTTGGGTACCTAAGACTAAAAAGGGATCCTAATTTAGAGAACTACCCAGATTGCATCACAACAGTCCTCGGAATTCACCTGCTCCTCGATCTGACTCGCGACCTGAATCGTCCCCTCCCCGTGCTTCTATCCGAGACAATCCCTTGCCTTCACCCCTTGAACCTGACCTTATGGCATATAAAAAGTAAGGTTCGTAAGCCGACAACTCGAAATTGCTCTCTGGCTTTGGTTGAAGGCTTAGGAATATTTGGAGAGATCACGGGTGCGACAACGCTTGGAGTGTTGAAGCCTTTCTCCTGCATTTTAGAGTCTGGACGCTGGCCCTCGAGCTTCTAAGTAATCAGAGCTGCTACCGGAGCAAATCCACAGGAGTCTTGACAAGCAAAGTGCTGGTGCATGCAGGGATTTGGGACTTTTGTTGAGCCTTTACTGTTCCGGGCCTGGGGTTTTGAAAGTATAGGGTCCGTGGTTTCCGGAGCTCTCTTTCATCATGATGCAGAGGGTGAAGCCGAGTGCTAACGAGCGGAGCAGAATGTGTCAAGAACTGTCTGAAGTCTCAGACACGGCCGATGTAAAGCACAAACGTGACTCAGCTGTTTTGTGATCCTCTGGTTCGCGAAGTTCGGGCCGGAGGTTGAAGTGGTTTCGAGGTGTCCGGGAGCAGCGAGGGCAGCAAGCACAAGCGAAGGGGAAGAGCTGCCACGATTGCTGACTGATGGTGGCGCGACGATGTGCTCGCGACTCACACGTTCAGTCTGGGTTGAGGCTCCGTCTCGCTTCTCCAAGTCCACGAGAGACTGGGACAGCTTGAGCCTTTCCTGACCGGTAGAAGTCATGCGATGCTTGATAGACGTTGAAGCAAGGCGACGTTGCAGGGCCACTGTCCTCGGTCTCGGAGTCCCGCTGTGCCTGCAGTTGCGTCTTCAAGTCATTGAACATCTGCTGCGCAGCCTTTCACGGACGCGCCAAAAAGGGAGGAAGCAGCCAGTCCCTGCAACAAAAATCGCAAATCAACCGCTCGGTGCAGGGAGCCTCCTCTGCTGAGGCTTGTTGAGCGCGAAGCTGATCCTGGGACTGACACATTACACTATATTATACGATTCGTAGACCATGATATACCTACCATATTATGCTGGGTCATATTCTATTATACTATGTTTTACAACGTTCTGCTGCTATATTTTATTTCAGAATCTAGTATGAGAAAAGATGATATGATAGAACATCATAGGATATGCTATGATAGGATAGGATATGATGTGCGATGTATGTGTGTATATATATATATATATGTGTGTATTTTTCATTCATTCATTCCTTCATTCATGTATTATTACCATTATTATTATTGCTATTATTAATATTTGTATATATATATATATACATATATATATATATATGTACGATAACGCACTATGGAACAGCATGATGGTTGCAGCGCTCCTCTCGCTCCATTGCAGCCGAAACCTTTGAGACGCAGGGTTTCGGTTTTTTGGAGTCCCCCCGATACGCGCGAAATCCGTGGGCTCATGGGGGTTTCCGAAAATAGGGGCTTATTATAAGGACCCCGGAATACGGTACCCCTTATTTTCGGAAACTCCCTCATGGTTCTTGAGTTGACCTTCTACTGCCAGAGCCGGCCCGAACTGAATCTGCCTGCTTCGCAGTGCTGTCGGCGGCGGCCTCGCGGCAAGATGTGGGCCTACAAGAAAGTCCCGCAAAAGCCCCGTTGCTGCGTACCTTCTCTACCTCAGCCACCCTGG